TTTTTTCATATTTAATTTTGATATCGTCGCTCGAAGTGGCGTAAAAATTCTTCCGATCGAGAGGAGATCAGACATTGTATTCTGTTTTGTTGGCATTTTAACTTAAAACCCTGTGTATGGTTCTACTGCTCGTGACGGAATACCCGTCAGGGTAGGCCGACCTATAATCAGGAAATTAATTTTGGAAAGATCATACAGTTTGTCCATGTGTTTGGACTGCAGTTTGCGTTATTTGGTTTTGCCCGTAGTACTTGGCAATTCCTGTTTTTTTGCGTTGCAGTGTATGGCGTTGCCGTACAATGGCGTCAGTTGTGGGTTCTATTTATACGCTTGGGTTTCCAGCGATGAATGGAATCTTCAATTTGATGTCATTTGCGGTAATCTTTTGGACTGTTGAACACTGTGTTTTGCGTTTGCGTTGCGTTGCGTTTGTATGATACTGTTTGCGTGTTTTTGTATGTATTTGGACTTTAGCAAAAAGTAAATGTGTAATATAAAGCACGTCTGATCTCTTCTCGGTCGAATTATTTAGACACGGGATACCCTGTCAAATTTGAGCGGCCAAAACAATCCAACCTTGAATTGTATTTAGTGCGATATTGCTTTATTGTTTGCAATAACATTGTTGAAGCGTTCATGTATGAGTCATCATACATATAACAAAATTAAATATGAAAATGTTACTCATAGTCGTTTTTATTTTATTTCAATTATTGAAATAATAAAGATTATTTTAGAATTAAAATAATCCCATTTATTTTAGAGAAAAAAATCGTCAGCTACCTTGTTTAAAGCTATCATTACGTGGCAATCGGCAAACCTCAGTCATTATCTATAGATTGTTTACATTACACTGGTTACCGTGTTTATCTTATCATTTCTATATAGGGCCGGGTTTAAAGAGTTAGCTGTTAATAATATAAAAGCCCGAGTTTCTCGTGCAACTTTCTCAGTTTTTGTTTGACGACGAAGCAATAACACACTCAATTACCCGCCCGCCAGACCCTGTTTAGGCTAATATATTAAGAAGTTAATAGGCAGGTTCATTAAGATCGAAACTGTTAATTAATTATTTTGACTGTTAAGCCTTATGTGTATTGATTTGATATTTAGCTTGTACAAGATTACTGCTGCAGTTTATCTATTTGCAGGATTGAGTTTGAGTTTTGTCAATAACCTGTGTTTGTCCACAAATGTCAAGAGTTGGCTACGCACCTGAACGCAGAGATTGGATGCTACCCTGATGGAACACTTGGGAGCAAAAACATTTTGTGTTATAAGTTTAAACCAGCTAATGTGAAGAGACTGTGTACTTTATAAATTACAGAAAACATCTTTGTGACTGGTTAATAATAGGTATATAGAATTACGTTCGGTGCTAGCTTAGACTTAAATAAAAAAAATGTGGACACTTGAAATTCGAATTTTAAAACTGTAGTTTAATAAACTTTCATAGATTCACAGAAATTTATATGTTATACTCTGTTTTTTCATATTTAATTTTGATATCGTCGCTCACAGTGACGTAAAATTCTTCCGATCGAGAGGAGATCAGACATTGTATTCTGTTTTGTTGGCATTTTAACTTAAAACCCTGTGTATGGTTCTACTGCTCGTGACGGAATACCCGTCAGGGTAGGCCGACCTATAATCAGGAAATTAATTTTGGAAGTATCATACAGTTTGTCCATGTGTTTGGACTGCAGTTTGCGTTATTTGGTTTTGCCCGTAGTACTTGGCAATTCCTGTTTTTTGCGTTGCAGTGTATGGCGTTGCCGTACAATGGCGTCAGTTGTGGGTTCTATTTATACGCTTGGGTTCCCAGCGATGAATGGAATCTTCAATTTGATGTCATTTGCGGTAATCTTTTGGACTGTTGAACACTGTGTTTTGCGTTTGCGTTGCGTTGCGTTTGTATGATACTGTTTGCGTGTTTTTGTATGTATTTGGACTTTAGCAAAAAGTAAATGTGTAATATAAAGCACGTCTGATCTCCTCTCGGTCGAATTATTTAGACACGGGATACCCTGTCAAATTTGAGCGGCCAAAACAATCCAACCTTGAATTGTATTTAGTGCGATATTGCTTTATTGTTTGCAATAACATTGTTGAAGCGTTCATGTATGAGTCATATACATATAACAAAATTAAATATGAAAATGTTACTCATAGTCGTTTTATTTTATTTCAATTATTAAAATAATAAAGATTATTTTAGAATTAAAATAATCCCATTTATTTTAGAGAAATAATCGTCTGCTACCTTGTGTAAAGCTATCATTACGTGGCAATCGGCAAACCTCGGTCATTATCTATAGATTGTTTACATCACGCTGGTTACCGTGTTTATCTTATCATTTCTATATAGGGCCGGGTTTAAAGAGTTAGCTGTTAATAATATAAAAGCCCGAGTTTCTCGTGCAACTTTCTCAGTTTTTGTTTGACGACGAAGCAAATAACACACTCAATTACCCGCCGCCAGACCCTGTTTAGGCTAATATATTAAGAAGTTAATAGGCAGGTTCATTAAGATCGAAACTGTTAATTAATTATTTTGACTGTTAAGCCTTATGTGTATTGATTTGATATTTAGCTTGTACAAGATTACTGCTGCAGTTTATCTATTTGCAGGATTGAGTTTGAGTTTTGTCAATATCCTGTGTTTGTCCACAAATGTCAAGAGTTGGCTACGCACCTGAACGCAGAGATTGGATGCTACCCTGATGGAACACTTGGGAGCAAAACATTGTGTGTTATAAGTGAAAACCAGCTAATGTGAAGAGACTGTACTTTATAAATTACAGAAAACATCTTTGTGACTGGTTAATAATAAGTATATAGAATTACGTTCGGTGCTAGCTTAGACTTAAATAAAAAAAATGTGGACACTTGAAATTCGAATTTAAAACTGTAGTTTAATAAACTTTCATAGATTCACAGAAATTTATATGTTATACTCTGTTTTTTCATATTTAATTTTGATATCGTCGCTCGAAGTGGCGTAAAATTCTTCCGATCGAGAGGAGATCAGACATTGTATTCTGTTTTGTTGGCATTTTAACTTAAAACCCTGTGTATGGTTCTACTGCTCGTGACGGAATACCCGTCAGGGTAGGCCGACCTATAATCAGGAAATTAATTTTGGAAAGATCATACAGTTTGTCCATGTGTTTGGACTGCAGTTTGCGTTATTTGGTTTTGCCCGTAGTACTTGGCAATTCCTGTTTTTTGCGTTGCAGTGTATGGCGTTGCCGTACAATGGCGTCAGTTGTGGGTTCTATTTATACGCTTGGGTTCCCAGCGATGAATGGAATCTTCAATTTGATGTCATTTGCGGTAATCTTTTGGACTGTTGAACACTGTGTTTTGCGTTTGCGTTGCGTTGCGTTTGTATGATACTGTTTGCGTGTTTTTGTATGTATTTGGACTTTAGCAAAAAGTAAATGTGTAATATAAAGCACGTCTGATCTCTTCTCGGTCGAATTATTTAGACACGGGATACCCTGTTAAATTTGAGCGGCCAAAACAATCCAACCTTGAATTGTATTTAGTGCGATATTGCTTTATTGTTTGCAATAACATTGTTGAAGCGTTCATGTATGAGTCATATACATATAACAAAATTAAATATGAAAATGTTACTCATAGTCGTTTTATTTTATTTCAATTATTAAAATAATAAAGATTATTTTAGAATTAAAATAATCCCATTTATTTTAGAGAAAAAATCGTCTGCTACCTTGTTTAAAGCTATCATTACGTGGCAATCGGCAAACCTCGGTCATTATCTATAGATTGTTTACATTACACTGGTTACCGTGTTTATCTTATCATTTCTATATAGGGCCGGGTTTAAAGAGTTAGCTGTTAATAATATAAAAGCCCGAGTTTCTCGTGCAACTTTCTCAGTTTTTGTTTGACGACGAAGCAATAACACACTCAATTACCTGCCCGCCACACCCTGTTTAGGCTAATATATTAAGAAGTTAATAGGCAGGTTCATTAAGATCGAAACTGTTAATTAATTATTTTGACTGTTAAGCCTTATGTGTATTGATTTGATATTTAGCTTGTACAAGAATACTGCTGCAGTTTATCTATTTGCAGGATTGAGTTTGAGTTTTGTCAATAACCTGTGTTTGTCCACAAATGTCAAGAGTTGGCTACGCACCTGAACGCAGAGATTGGATGCTACCCTGATGGAACACTTGGGAGCAAAAACATTGTATGTTATAAGTGAAAACCAGCTAATGTGAAGAGACTGTGTACTTTATAAATTAAAGAAAACATCTTTGTGACTGATTAATAATAAGTATATAGAATTACGTTCGGTGCTAGCTTAGACTTAAATAAAAAAATGTGGACACTTGAAATTCGAATTTAAAACTGTAGTTTAATAAACTTTCATAGATTCACAGACATTTATATGTTATACTCTGTTTTTTCATATTTAATTTTGATATCGTCGCTCACAGTGGCGTAAAATTCTTCCGATCGAGAGGAGATCAGACATTGTATTCTGTTTTGTTGGCATTTTAACTTAAAACCCTGTGTATGGTTCTACTGCTCGTGACGGAATACCCGTCAGGGTAGGCCGACCTATAATCAGGAAATTAATTTTGGAAGTATCATACAGTTTGTCCATGTGTTTAAACTGCAGTTTGCGTTATTTGGTTTTGCCCGTAGTACTTGGCAATTCCTGTTTTTTGCGTTGCAGTGTATGGCGTTGCCGTACAATGGCGTCATTTGTGGGTTCTATTTATACGCTTGGGTTCCCAGCGATGAATGGAATCTTCAATTTGATGTCATTTGCGGTAATCTTTTGGACTGTTGAACACTGTGTTTTGCGTTTGCGTTGCGTTGCGTTTGTATGATACTGTTTGCGTGTTTTTGTATGTATTTGGACTTTAGCAAAAAGTAAATGTGTAATATAAAGCACGTCTGATCTCCTCTCGGTCGAATTATTTTGACACGGGATACCCTGTCAATTTGAGCGGCCAAAACAATCCAACCTTGAATTGTATTTAGTGCGATATTGCTTTATTGTTTGCAATAACATTGTTGAAGCGTTCATGTATGAGTCATATACATATAACAAAATTAAATATGAAAATGTTACTCATAGTCGTTTTATTTTATTTCAATTATTAAAATAAATATTAATTACTGCTTTGACATATTTCTAATAATCGATTTCCAGATGTATTTACAACAGGGTCCATTAAAAATCTACAAGGGATATTAACAAATCGATAATCATCATCGTCGCTATTTTGATCAATTACAGAAATAAATTTATCATAGTGCGAACATTTTTGAATAAAATTATTCTTACCGCCACATCTAGCGTTTACATCGCCAATCTAAAAGAATGTACTTTCTCACGCCTCTTTCTAATAATTCAAAAAAACCTTCTTCGTGCATGGTAAAATATATAGAATTACTGGGCGGGATATATAAACAACAAAGGTAAACATCACTATCTAAATTGAAAAAAGATTTACACAGTTTAATCCATATAACACCACTATTGTCTATTTCAGATACTGTCATACCACTTTTTAAATGACTTCTTTAAAATAAACATACACCCCGTGACCTCTTTTTGAGTTTAAGCTTTCAGGTCGGGGAACTGAAATGCATTCATACCCATCTATTTCGTACACATTATAGATTTTTTGCCAAGTTTCACATAAGAAAACATTATCAAAATTTACAACAAAATTCAAAAAGTCTTCATCACTTGAACAGTTACCTAAACCTTCAATATTCCACGATACAATAGATAAAGCATACTTTTCGCGTCTGTCCTAGAAATTTGGTAGTCCACGAGATTGCGGATCGAACAATTTATTGTTCATATAGAGTTTATCACGCACTAATACTGCTCTTTTGCCCTGCTTTCTGGCCTCGATCATTTCCGGTATAAAAGCCTTTCTTCTCTCTTTCACTTCTAAGGGATACTGCTCAGCTACATTATAATTACTGTATTTTAATTTTACATGTTTTATCGCGTTTTTAATCACAAGCTTTGAGTCGGTTTTTTTAGCTTAACCACGATTGAACGTTCTTTGCCGTGAACAAATTTCCCAATTCTATGAGCCCTTTCAATCTGTATTTGCTATCAACTTCCGAAATTTTCTGAACATTTCTACACAAATCTATTATTTTGGCTTCACAATTTTCATGATTAAAACCTGACGTCATATCCGGTATTGCAGACGATGTCGTTGACTGACTGGCCTCATCCGTTACGTCACTGTTTGCCCATGCTGATGTGGTTTCACCACGTCCTAGATATTGATCACCTATGACCTCCGTACGAACTACTTCATGACCCATATCTGTTAACGGTGCTTTTGACTGTAATTTGCCCTCGGGTATTCCAAAAAACATAAGATTATCACGCATAGAGCGACATTTCAGATCAATAATTGAATCTTTCATACATCTAATTAATACATATAATGCGGATAAAAATTTGCAGTACACATCTTAACATATCTTTTGATGTTTAAGAAGAATAATTATATACATATATAAAGATTTACTTAACTGTTGTTACATCCTTTATTACAATATACAGGATCTTTAAAGCTGCACACCTCAAGATGAGTAAAAATATTTCTAGGAATTCAATCTTTAGAAAAATGTATTAAGATCTTAAGAAAAAGTAAAAATATTCAATATTTAATTAATCATTTACAATGTACATGTTATGTGTGATTAATGATTGATTTTGCAGTATCAATCACTATCTTTCAACTGCGTTACTAACGCAGTAAGGGGTATATAAGTATATTTTAATTTCCTTTGGTAATGTACGTGGATTGTAAGTGCCGTTTGCAATGTGTAAATTACTTTCTTTGTTCACTTCACAGTATTTTACTTTTAAAAAACATTTTCAAAATTTTTATGAAATCGGCGTGAATCTGGAGGCATGCTGCTTTAAAAATATTAATTTCAAAATTGATTGTTCTTATTACCATTGCTCCAGCTTTAACAGTTGAAATTGCAAGATGTTTGAATAATTGAGGATTTCGTGGCATGTAAAAGAATTTTTATGTGTTGCATTCCTCTTTCCTAATCTATTGAATATTTGAGGAAGCAAAGATATTTTCCTTAATTCATTGTAACATTGAAGCGTGTGAGCTTATCATGCTCTTCAATAGTATATTCTTGGTGAACTTGAAAAACGTGTAAAAGATAGTAATAAAAAAACAACTCATGATTAAATTCAAATCGTACGAATATTGTGTATGATTCTTGGCACGATTTGATGTAAAACAAAAAAGTTTAGTTGCTTTTCATATTTTGGTCAATTTAACAATCAAGATGATTATTCTGAAAAAAAAACTGAGCTGGTGTACGATTTGAAAAAAAAACAAAACAAAAAAACACACACACACACAAACACACACACAAGTAATTTTGAAGTTATACTTCAAATGGTACGCAAATTCGAAACATATTACCTCCGCGGTGATCATTTAAGATATCAAAGCTTGTGAGACTTTCCCAACAATTTCTTTTGTTCATTGACCCAAAAGAGAACTTTTACACTTCATTAAATGAATGTGAATATCTGTAATCGAAACGGTTATTTAACAAAATTTACAGCTCAGTCTTAAGTAATATGTGATGTACCTTATGTACCTTTAATTAGGTCTCTCATATTACTACGGCTTTATTTGTTTTGTCAACAATGGTGGTTCTATCTGATAATATTTTAAAGTCATTTCTCCTCTTGTAAAAAGCTACTTTAGTCCAAAAACATTTAATAAACGTGTGATAGACTCCTTTAAATCATTTCGAAAACTTTCTTCAAACAAACAGTAAAGCGCGCAGTTCAATCCACTGTTCAAAAAATAGCAAATATAAATTAGATTTTGATATTGCAAAAGCGTGGTCGATGCAATGTTAAGTGTGTACATGAAAGCAGCGTATGGACATGTTGAAATGCAGTGCAGTAAACTTATCGATATGACGATCCTTGTTATATTTTTTATGCTCCTTTGTTGACGTGTCCTTTCTTGGGATATTCGCTTCCATACACAAATGGCTACCAATGTGATAATGTTACTGCTTGTTATCAATATCAAAGGCAGTAGGAATGTGAAAATACCGTACGATATGGCATCCAACAACTTGAAGTCAAATTTATTAACATCATTAATATTTAGATAGCAGTTAGTTTTATTTTCATTGGACACTATGATTGAAGCCGTACTCAGAACGTATACATTCAAAGCAAACGAAAACAGTATAATACAGCAAATAGCAATAATAGAACGTCTTTTTACATTGCTTTTGTACATTTTAAGAGGGACACAAACGTATAGCATTCGTTCCACTGCGATCATAACCGTTATCCACGCTGAAACTTGTGGTGAAAACATCCCAAAGAAAAGAACAGGTTTACAAATCCAATCATGTTTATTACGTAAATAATATCCTGACGTAAAAAAAGCATACTCAGTTCCCAACATTAACAGAATAAACAAATCATTGAGAGCTAAAGTCCACATGTATGTTTTACAGTTTGTTGTTTTGCTCGTTTTGCCATATTTCCATATCAATATTGAGATGATATTGCCGATTGAACCAAGAATAATAATGGTGACTAAAATTACAACGAATGTCATTGTATACTGATAAAATATACACGAGGAAATTGAACTTAGAATTAATAAAGTATCTTAATACCAAGAGAAGCTTTATAAAGCGTCCTGCAATCAACACCCACAGAACATTTATTAAGCGTCCTACAGAGTAAATTATGTTATGCAATAACTAAAAAATTTTGACATTTGCAAACAGCATAATATGTGGTCGTACAAATTAATTTAGCTCTTATATCTCATGACATTTGGACAGAAACGAACATATTTTTATTATTGGCATACTGGCATTAAAGTCAATTTATTAAATGTCATTTCTTTTATTATATTTCTTATATGAATCAATAGTAAAGTTTATTGTTTTATTATCAAATATGCAATATGATTTTTGCTACTATCCCTGTAAAATCTATATACCTCATAGATGTTACAGTCATTATATAAATAGCACATAGATTTGTTGGTAACAGTGAAAATATTATCCGGAGAAAAATACTGTAACCGGAGTCTGTAATGATCTGAAATTTTCAGCTAAATCAAACTGTAACATAAAGTAACCAAGACTATCAAATCCCTACCTTGCAAGTTCACGGGGAGGAATCACGCCGTTCGTTACCCAAACAAACAAGATGGCGGATGCAGCCAAAAAGTAGGTTTTTCCCTTTTTTCTCTGAAATTCGTGATGTTCTTGTGTAAAGGTACATATAACAACCTTCTACACAATTTCCCTGGCACACAGAAATTTATTTCATGGTGTTTCGTCCCGTACTTCTTCTGAAATGCGCGTCACCAGATTCGAAGCGAGAGAATTTTCCACCGGTTTGATCGTGGTAACGTACGGCTTCTTCACTCAAATTCGCTGTTTCTTTACATATATGTATATTAACTGAAACCACTGACTTTAAAAATTTGTAATATGTTGTCAAGTAATCATTCATGCCCATTTTGGCTAGATTTACTGGTGTAAATATTAATATTGGGGCATTTTCCGGAAATGATAACGTATGGCGTATAAAATATCAATGATAACGTACGGCGCATTTTTCTACTTGGTGGATTTCTATTTGTCCAGTCAGCTGATAATAAATTATTTGTATGTAGGAAATGATAGATATTTGAAACAAAAAGTTTGTCATTTCAGAAATAAATTTTATTGAACAATGCTGCACCATCGGGTATCAATATCTTTCTAGCTGGTGGCATAATAGATATTCGTTGTAAATATACCAAGTAAAACACACTTTTATAGTTTGAGAATATTTTTGTATAAAATGCAGAATGGAAAGAAAAGCCTCCACTTTTAGGAAACATTTGTGTATTGTTGTCTTCACATTAAATTTCGCCAGTGCTGTGCGATAATTATGGTCTTATCCCCTTATCAGAAAGAAGAAATGCATTCACCAGAGCAAAAATGTTAAAATGGTACGGAAGACTCGATATATTTTCTTTTCCAAAATTACTTTAACAAATTACTGATAAGAAAATCTTAATATTTGAACCACGTCAAACATAAACAAAACGAAAAGTGATTGCGACTAGCTTACACCCAGAGGAGATGAGCCTGTGTTTATACAATCTGGTCGCTCATTAAAAGAAAATTCATAAAAGAGAATAATGAATGAGTATAGGTTCTATATTGAATTTATTGAATTAGTTAAAAAATAATGTTTTGCGAAAAAGTTCAATAAATTTATTACATAAGAAATTTCCAGTTTATTTGACGAAACGTTTTCTATTTAGCGTGACGTTGTGCCACTATGACGTCAGTTATATTTGCACGACATAATTATCCGTACAGTTTTTTATTATAAATGATTTGATCAAAACAATTACATCCAATTCATAAATTTGCCTATCATATTTTGGCTTTTTTTCTCGCAAACGCCCCAACTAAAACAATCAATCTCTTACAAAATAGTATCAGCAATAAAAGAGTGTCATTGAAATTTGCGGTAAACATTTTACCGACCATGATAAAGTTTCAAATCGGATTTGGATTTCGATGTTTTATCCATGTCCGAGACCCCGTCTGAAACCATTAAAGCTAGACCGCTCATGAATGCGCTCAGATGACGTCATTATCTTTATGAAAGAACAGCTGTAAAAATTACTACGTTACTATGATAATAGTGTTTATGAAGTATATGTTAGTAACATATACTTCGTAAACAATAATATCATAGTAGCGTAGTAATCAGTTAGTGTTCATCTGTGTTGTTCTACAGAATTTAGAAACTTTGACAGGAGCGATAGCGGCCGGAGAATGTTTCTTATATCCGTAGAACAGCACGGATGAATACTAACATATTTAGTGTCAAGCTTTATTTGGCTTCATTAATATTTACTTTCTTTCGTCACTATACTTGTCTATTTTACGAACACATTTCTATGAAGCACTATGAAAAATAGAAGTTTATGTCGTGTCCAAATTTATTTCTCACCCAAAGTAAGCGCTGTTTTTCTAAAAGAAATTCTGTGCGTTAATTTTCATTGAAGAACAAAAGACGATACTTGATCGAATTCCGTTCATAGTCGATTTCTCATTTTCATAATAATTCATAGAACAGCATAGTGACGTAATAAAGTGCCAAAAAAGCTTGACGCTTAGTATGTTAGTATTCATCCGTAGCTGTTCTACAGAAATTAAAACATCCTTCTGTCGCTATCGCTCCCGTCAAAATCTATAATTTCTATAGAACAGTACGGATGAGCACTAACATATACATAGATATTTGAAATTTGGGATCAAGTTTCACTTTTGACGAAACTTTAAGATCACCAAAGGTGGAAAAGTTGCTCTATATTCGAGTATGATATGCAAGAAAACATATCACTCGTGATTACCTATCGGTTTTTAATATCCATCCCAAAAAGCACCTGCACAAGGGCTTAAGTTAGCAAGACTCGTTACAGCCCAATGCGAAAGAGCCCTTGGATCGGATATTTCTATCCGGTACAAAAACAATTGACAGATATTATGCAAACACTAAATAATATTCAGTTTGTTTGTTTGGTTCTACACATCCTCTTATGTCTGGTAACTGGTAACATAACTTTTCTCTTATATAGAAAATCAATTAAGCAGACAAAAATGCGCCGTACGTTATCATTGATAGTTTGTGTGCCATACGTTATCATTTCCGGAAAATGCCCCGATTTTAATATTTTCAGCGGTTATTCTAGCCAGAATGGGCATGAATGCTTAGATGCCGACATATTACAACTTTTAAATGTCAGTGATTTCAGTTAATATACATATATGTAAACAAAACAGTGAATTTTAGAGAAGAAGCCGTACGTTACCACGATCAAACCGGTGGAAAATTCTCTCGCTTCGAATCTGGTGACGCGCATTTCAGAAGAAGTACGGGACGAAACTTCATGAAATAAATTTTGGAGGAAAATTGTGTAGAAGGTTGTTATATGTACCTTTACACAAGAAAATCACGAATTTCAGAGAAAAAAGGGAAAAACCTACTTTTTGGCTGCGTCCGCCATCTTGTTTGTTTGGGTAACGAACGGCGTGATTCCTCCCCTTGAAGTTGTAAGTGTACTTAAGAAGTTTTTCTTTCATTTTATAAGCAAAACATGATATCTACCAGTCATAAACATACAATAAGCTGTGTTACATTCATAAATCAAAACACCAACCCATTTTATACGGTTATGAAGCTGTGTTACATTTATAAATCAAAACACCAACCCATTTAATACGGTTATGAAGCTGTGTTACATTTATAAATCAAAACACCAACTCATTTAATACGGTTATGATCTGTGAAATCTGACCCTGTCCAGAATGTTTTTCGTCACCTTTATATTGTCTATCATGAACACGATTTTTGACATGTGCAATTACGTTATTTGAATAGTCAGTCTGTCTACCAAACGTTTTCTTGTTTCGCTTGTTAAATTCGTAAAATAATCATTTATTTCATGCTTTAATCGTCTTCTTGTTCTATTTTTTATCTGATGTTAATTCCCATGCAATAACTTCCGATGAAAATGGATATTTACTTTTTTTACTAGTTTAACTAAAAAAAATATTAAAACAAAAGCAAAACTGCTATACAATCATGGACATAAAGCAAAATAGTTACTCATGTAATAATCTATGCAGAACATTTAACGATTCGTGTTGTTCTGATAATACTTGTGTTAAGATAAAGTGAGCCGCGTCATGACAAAACCAACATAATGGGTTTGCGACCAGCATGGATTCAGACCAGCCTGCGCATGCGGATGCGCAGGCTGGTCTGGATCCATGCTGGTCGCAAACCCATTATGTTTGTTTTGTCGTGACGTGGCTTAAATATCTATTTAGCTTAAATTTGATAAGCGCACATTTTCCTTGATGTTATTTAAAATGTCTTGAAATTGTAAGGTTCAGTTATTGATATCCATCGCAGAACCGCATACATTAAAGAGAGTTGTCCTTGAGATAATGCAACATAACACGAACCCTTTGCTGTAATCAATATTGGTTATTTACTATAGCGCGATGTCTTTCTGCGACATATTATCATGCACATTACTTAGCAATCATTACACGCTTTACACAATACAACCTATTTACCATATGTAACCCTGACAGAGTTACCTATCACCGAAAAGATCAAATTGTTTAATGCTTTAGTTGCCCCAGTTCTCAATTACGGGGCCGAAATGTTCGGAAACCATGAATGTAAGGACATTGAAATCGTACACTCAAAATACTGCAGGAAACTATTAGGTGTTAAAAGGTCAACTAACATAGATGTTCTACATGGTGAATTAGGATTACTACCACTATAAATTAACAGAAAAATAATTCTGATCAATTATTGGTTTAAAATACTTAAATCGAGTCATGACTGACTCAATTTTACACATGGAATACACTATGCTTAAACATCAAACAAACTACGGTCCAGATAACAATAACAATTTCATATCAAGACAATAGTACATAACTGTGGTCTATATGAACTTGAATAAAAGAAAACATCAGTAGTAAGCAATTTCTGGTCATAAAACAAAGAATAATTGATATCCACCAACAAAATTGGTACACAATATTGAACAATTCTACCCGATTACAATCTCATTCTTTATATAAACATAATTAT